TATAATTCCTACTCGTGTTCCTCAATAGGACCTTTAAGATGTGAAGTACATCCTCCATCTGAGCTGAAAAGTGGGATGATCCTTCAAATTGCACATCTTGGCCTTTGAGCTTTCTAGGGCCTTGAAGACTATAGCCATAAGCATGGCTGGTGCAGAAGCCACGATCCTGGTAGCCAAGTGAGCCACATCCAAATCAGACTGAAGCAATTAACTTCCCTTCATTCACCTCTTTAATGTCCTCAGACAGCTTGTCAGGCGTTAAAGTCAGATCACCCTATAGGAGATTCTGGATGGTAATTCTAAGCTGTACCCCTGTCACAAAATATATTTTTCTACCAAACAAGTCCAGCTTTTTGGTACTCTTTGGCTCAGAGGCTTTGGCTTTCTCTTTAGCAGCTGAGACAATGCGTGATCTCTGAAGGGGATAGAGTAAAAATGCTCAACGCCTTGGAAGGGAATGAAATATCTAAGCTCCTTCCCACTTGTTTTGATGTGGGAGGGAGTTTCCAAACCACAATGATGGGGGCTAAATTAGCTGTTGCCATGCCAAAAAGAGAGAGAGAGAGAGAGAGAGAGAGAGAGAGAGAGAGAGAGAGAGAGAGAGAGCTCTAAGTCATTGTGGAAAGTTCTTTGAAAACATTCATTCAATATGTAGCAAGTCAAAAAAAAAGCAGCAAACAGAATGCTGGGAATCATTAAGAAAGGGTTCAATAAGACATAAAATATCATATTGCCTCTGTATAAATCCATGGTATGCCCACATATTGAATACTGCGTGCAGATGTGGTTGCCTCATCTCAAAAGAGAAATATTGGAATTTGAAAGATACATAAGAGAGCAATAAAAATGATTAGGGGTATGAAACAACGTCCATCTGAGGAGAGATTAATAAAGACTGGGACTTTTCAGCTTGGCAAAGAGATGACTAAGGGGGAATAGCACAGAGGCATATGAAATCATGATGGGTGTGGAGAAAGCCAGTCAACTATCTGGAGAAGAATGGAAAGAGGCCATTATCACTGGTTTTCCTCTGGACAGTACAGACAGATGAGAGCTCAGGGACACGGGAGGCTGGTCTAACATTGAGTGCTGCATCGAGGAGGCTCACTGTAGGACAGATCTCCTGCACCCGGGACAGCAGTGCCGATAAACTCAACAAGTTCCTTGCAGCTGCAAATGCCTTTGGCATGGATGGAACTGGGATAATTACTGACCAACATACAAGAAACAAAGATGGTGCCGCAGACGATAAATGTGTTGTTGGGGGCCCAGGACTCTGTGGGGTCTGCCTGAATCAACAGTGTCATTTTATCCAAAGAGTGAACGGAAGAGTGCTTGGATTTTGAGTGCACTCTATTCAACGCTTTGTGCCCTTTCTTTGCAGACATCGGGATCGGAGATCTGCAATGTCCTTAAGAAGCCTTCTGCTTCTTCTTGGGCACCGGCATGGAGTGGTGGTGCCAGGACTCAGTCAGCAGTGGAGGTGCACTGCTCAGACGTGCTCAAGTGCTCAGTACCCTCTCTGACAGAGGGCTCGGAAGGTGCCTCAAAGTAGCCCCCATCCAAAGAAACTTCAGCCAGGCCTCTCCATCTCTTCTGGCCCTGGGTTTGAAGACCTTGCCAACCAGGCGCAGATCCCTAACGCAAGTCTCACCGAAACACTTGAAACAGCTAGAGCACAGCTTGCTTGCAGCGTCAGCTTTAAGCAAGAAAGACAGGGCTTGAAGCCGGGGACAGAGGCATTCCTTGGTACTGACAAATGGAACCCGCAAATGGGGAACCGAGAAAAAAACGCCCGTCACTAACACTAAGAACTATGTCACTAGGTAACTATATACAAGAACAGAGAACATGCTAAAGCAAGACCAAATTCTCACCACTGTTCTGGGCTGCAAGAAGGAACTGAGGGGGCCTGCAAGTGGCTTGCAAAGCGCACTTGCACTAGCCCAATGGGTACTGCTAAGGGGAAAGTTTCTTGATAACTGTGCTCATGGCACGCACACATGTGGAATACATATGCAATCACTCAAAGTAGTACAAAAGCCTTCCGATCGTTGTAACTTTGTGTCGCAGAATTAATATTTACTTAATTGGTACCTATACCTTCAGTGTAGCAAACATCTAAAGCTGTAAAAGCCCTTGAAAGTTAGTTTGGTGGACTCCACAGTCTTTTTGTACACATCAATTTGTCATAATTGTTAGTCTTTATTCATGAAGATAACTGCAAGTGCAGGAGTTGTCAGAAGTAAGGCAAGTCCCTGCTTTTCCAAAAAGTAGCTCTGAGGAAAAAGTTAGCTAGTGGTATTGCCACTAATATTCTTTCCAACACAGGCTACGTTGCTGAGCAATGTATCAATTTTCTATGAGAGGTATCAATTTTCTGTGAGAGAAACAAGACAAAACAGTTTCCAATCCTTACGATGTTGTCTTTGCAACACAAGTTACATACAGAACTGTTACAGGGACTATTAGCACAGCATAACACACATCTTACATCAGAACTGTTACAGGGACTATTAGCACAACATAACACATCTTACAGACTTAAAATGTGCACAGATCACTTGATTTCTATAGAAACAACATTCAAATACAAAACCACCTCAGAAAAGCCTGAATTGGTTATGAGCACCTTGCAGAAATCTTATGGATTAAACAGTGCATTTGAAGTTTGGTGTAGCTTTTCTTTGCTGCCTGTTTTAAGAAGTCACTAAACGCCTTACTTGTTAATATTGCTTCCTTCCTTCAGCCTGTCCCCAGCAGCTCCAGTCTTAGTGGCCCTTTCACTGCCTGCCAAGTCCACCAGACTCAATTTGCCCACCTTCTCACCCGATGTCTGAGGAATGGACAAGAGAAGAGTTACTGTTAAACGATTTTATTTACTCAAATTTCCAGTTAAGTTTCACAGTTTGCCACGTTTTCAAATAAGAATGCAAGTCGTATTACTTACATTGGATCTTTCACCCAACCAATTTTAAACTCAATATTGTAGCATGCAGTGAACATTCCAACACAGACCTTTGGATCAAAAATAATCCTCTTTAATAGCTGCCACGACAGTGCTAGTGTTGGATGCACCAGGAACGCCAAGACCCCAAGGACCAGGAGGGAGAAACTCAAGCAGTATCAGGCAGGTATAAAGCATGATGAGTGGGAGGAGGGAACAGCCAATGGACACAGATCAGGAAACAATCTAACATCTCTGCCTTAGCTTTCTCATTTTAAAAGCTGGGATCAGTTATTTGTCCAAAGCCACAGTGGGAGCAAGGCCAACTCAGGCCTAGTGTACACTTAAAACTCAGGATGACCTAGCTATGCAACTCACGGGTGTGAACATTTACACTTTTGAAAGACAGACTGGTTGACCTAAGTCCTGCTACAGACACTGCTAGGTTGACAACTGAATTTTTGCAACAACCTAGCTTCTGCCAGCATCTCTTACGGGGGTAGATTTACTGCAGCAAGGAAATAACCCTTCCATCACTGTGGAAAGGGTCTATACTTCAGCAGTGTAGCTTACAGTGCCACAGCTGTGCTGCTGTAATGCTTGTAGCATAGTTTTGACAATGATTCCCAGCCCTATGCTCAGACTGCATCACTCTGAATATAAGTCCACTTTTAATGACGGGCAGGCATTTACAAAAATACTAAAGATGACAGGGAAGGTTTCCTACATCCCTTCCAAAGACTTTCTCCTTAAAGTAGCAATTCCAAGATGAATGATTAAAAAGCATTCAGCCCTCGTCATATTGAAACTTTAACCCAAAAGAAGTTTTACCATAAATTCGTATCACTCTTGCCAGTAATGTCTGAACCAAAAGTCAATGTTTGAAACATTCAAATTGGTATTTAGATTTCCTTTAAATTAATAGGTATCTTGAGCTTTTCCTTAGCTCCCCCCCTCACTATACTATGTAATTGCTAAGATTACAATTATAAATTTTCCAAAGTACCTATGTCTCATTGAAAAAAAAAATCAATGGGACTGATATTTTTCACAGGGATTCAGGCATTTTTGAAAATTTAATTGTGTTTCAAAGCACACTGTACTTCCATGTCCTAGCACATCATGTTGGATCATCTAATTTCAGAAAGACTCAGACCAGAAGCCCAGAGGAGACTGGAAATTCATAGAGTTGCATAGTCAGCA